TGGGGTAAATCTAAGCACACATTGACTCTATAAAACAGTAATAGTGGGGCGCCTGGGTGGCGCAGTCGGTTGAGCGTCCGACTTCAGCCAGGTCACGATCTCGCGGTCCGTGAGTTCGAGCCCCGCGTCAGGCTCTGGGCTGATGGCTCGGAGCCCGGAGCCTGTTTCCGGTTCTGTGTCTCCCTCTCTCTCTGCCCCTCGCCCGTTCATGCTCTGTCTCTCTCTGTCCCAAAAATAAATAAACGTTGGAAAAACCAAATTAAAAAAATAAAAAATAAAATAAATAAAACAGTAATAGTAATGCCTGGTCTGATGAGATATTACCGCGGGAGGACCGCAGCCTGAGAGTCCCGCCCAGACAACTCCTTGGTCACCTTGCAGGGCAAAAGGTGGTGAGCGTAAAATTGAGAGTCCTGTCCCCCCACTAGGAGCCCTGTCTGAGGCAAAGAACTGAGAAAGGACTCCACTGAGACACCAGATGAACTCGAACAAGACACTTGAGGAGCAGGGAAGATAAAGTGGAGGGAAGTGGTGGGCAGGGAACCTGCCGAGTTCGGGGTCCCGCCTACTGCTGCCCTCCATCTGCGCCTGCATGTGCATAAACGCCGGGTAGTGTAGCTTCGCCTGTGGATCCGTAACGTGAGAAATGTCGGTGAGATCTAGATCTATGTAGGTATGCTGTTCAGGCCCAAAAGGGAACACTCAGACTGGGGTATATAATACTCTTCTAACGCAAGGGATGTACCAAAAGAAAAATTTGAACAATGGCTCAGGATTTAAATTCTCGACTGTCTAGTGAACCTAGGCATCTTCAGGGTTTGTGGGGAGGAGGTGGGGGTAAGAGCGTTCTCAGGATCTTATCTAGCAGACATGGGAGGGGGCGGGCAGTGAAAGTATTCTGAAGCTGTCGTCGGTGGGAAAGGTGCAGACTTAGAACATGCGCTCCCTGGGAGATGGTCTGTTCTGGGGGTGATCGGGATCTTGCTTTCAAATAGAGCAAAGAAATCAATGTTAGCCTTTGAGGTCAGTGGAAAGGAAGGCAGCCAGTAATAAACGGAAAGATTTAACAAGCCTTCCAAATTCACAAGAGGAAATGTGAAGTTTACAGCAGCCTGGTCAGACTGGCTGACACGAGGAAGAGGAAGCCGCAGCGTGGAGCGAGTCGTAAACTCGCTAGAAGGGCTAGAAGCAAGCGCGTGTGAACGGACCGTTTCTCCCGGTGAAAGGCCTTCTGGACTGGGTTACAGAAGTGCGACCATGTGACATTTATAAGACAAAGTGATGAAAGCTTAATAAGTGAACAAGGGTGGCAAGTAAATGCAGACTAAGAAAACCCCCAATATGAACATCGGATAGATGGAGTTTAACATTTTACTTTATACACGCGCCGTTTTTCTATAAAAAGCATACATTGGATTATTGTTATTGTTGCGTAGTTTTGTGGTTCCCAAGACAACTCGCAAAACATACACCCATATCGGCACCTACTCCCATTCCCTCACCTCCAGTAATTCATATTAAATGATAGGAGAACAAGTCAGCCAGTGTGAAAGGGAGTGTTCCTTTAAGTACAGAATCCCAAGTTGGAAATGATGGATCACCTCTCGCTAGTGGATCCTAGATCACGTCCTCTCAACCTACTTGGGAAAGCATTCATACAAGGGAAAAAAAAAAAAACTTTCCCAGCTAACTTTGAAGATACTTACACGATAACTCTTCGGGCTTCAAAGCTGGCTATCCTTTTTAGCAAGGAGCTCGGAAGCTTCTACTTTCTAGAGAAACTTGGGGGTAGATGATATACCCTGCCTTGTATTCTTTTCTTCCAGCCACCGGAGTCCTTAAGCTTTTATGTTTGTATGAGGTCTCTTCGAAAGGGCATAGATGCACGTTGGGAATGTGTGTTTGCCGTTCTCCACAAGGAAGTACATTGGCACAGCTGTGGGCTGGAAAGAGCCTCCTGGTGGAAGGTATAGGAGACCTCAGTCCTTTCTCTTCTTAATATAATCAAGTTATCATGAGGCTTGAAAATGCAGGAGTAGCTGATGCACACAGTCCCCGCCCTCTCGCCCACATACTTGGTCACTGTGTCCTCTGAAGCCTTTGCTGGAACCAGGCTTAGGTGCACATCCCTAAGCACAAAGGCTTTGAGGTAGTCACTGTAGAGGTACGTGACCTGGGAAATCGGGAGGTAGCAGCAGGCTCGCCATTTTGTAGATGACGAATTCAAGTGGACGGCCAGTCGTCAGAGACCACAGGTGAAAGCTAATCTTCCTTCAAGGAGAGCCCCGTGCCTTCACGTAACAACAGGATACCAAGGTGGCTGAGTGCCTGGTGACAGAGCAGGGCATCTAGACCTAGAGGGAAGGTGACTGCCCCAAGTCCCGTGGCTGGGGGTCAGTGATGCCGAGGCTTGAGCCAGACCTAGACCCGAAAGCCAACACCATAGTGGGATCTCCGGTATTCAGAGGGCACTCGGCTATTTTGCGGATTAGCCAGAGTTCAAGGTTTCAGGGTGGATGGAGAGCTGCTTGCTTCCTTGGTGGGACTTGGCGGCCGAGCCCCTGCTGACTAACTGAGAAGTTGGGGTGTGGCGTCTCTCAGCACTGGTTGCGCCTCAGAATCCCTTGAAGAGCTTCCCCAGAGTGTCTTTCAGGTGGTGTTGGAAGAGACCTGCCTGTTGCTATCATTTGGCAAGATTGCAGGTAATTCTAATAGGCAGCCGGGGCTTGAGAACCCCTGGGTGGGGCCCAGCAGGGCGGGTGTGACGGGCTCTGGAAAAGCGAGGTTGGGTCAGCTCAGGGGTCTGCAGGGTTTGTGGCCCAGGCGCTGGGGTCGGGCGGGGCACGAGGTAGAGATTGTCCACGGCAGTAAGGCTACCCGGCAAAGCCAGCACCTGTGCTGTGGAGGGCCATCCTTCAGTGGCTTGACTGAGCCATGGTTAGAGGTGAATGTAGGAACACGTTGCCGGGTGGGGGTTAGCTTTGTGAGATGCAGGTGCCCAGAGAAGTGCAAGTGTGTGTTTGCTGACTGTGGGCTTGAGCGACTTTAAAGAGGACAGCATACTGTGCTTGACTAAGTGAATGTACTCTAGAAGTTAATATAAATTAGGACTTCAGTTAAATGAATTTCTTCCTTCTGCATATTCTAGCCTCTGATAGTGCCATGCAGATAACCAAAATCCTGTTTGCTCAAACAAAGCATTTTTAAGCCCGGTCTTCTTCTTCTTCTTCTTTTTTTAAAGTGTGTATATTTATTTTGAGAGAGAGAAAGAGTGAGCACATGAGCAGGGGAGGGGCAGAGAGAGAGGGAGAGAGAGAATCCCAAGTAGGCTCCATGGTGTCAGGGCAGAGCCCGATGCAGGGCTTAATCTCATAAATCGTGAGATCATGACCTAAGCAGAAATCAAGAGTCAGAGGCTCAACTGATTGAGCCATTCAGGTGCCCAAGCCCTGTCTTCTTAAAAGTGAATTTGGTACCTGGGGTGCCTGGGTCGCTCACCTCTGACTCTTAATTTCAGCTCAGGTCACAGGCTCACATGGAGCCTGCTTGGGATTCTCCCTCCCTCTCTCTCTGCCCCTCGCACACACCCTCTGTCTCTTTCTCTCTCTCAAAAAACTTATTTTTTTAAAAAAGCTAATTTGGTACTCAGATTTTCACCTCTCAGTTCCTGTTCATCATTAAAGATAACGTGTCTTTTTAGGTTTCAGTTACCCACGTGAGAAGTCTGTGAAAAGAATTTTTCCTGATAGTCAATAATAACTTCAAGATGCACATTTGTTTATCCACGAAATCCCCCTTCTCTTTGTAGAGGTATGTGGAAAACCCCAGCCTCATGGCCTGTTACAACGAACTGCTCCAGCTGGAGTTCGGAGAGGTGCGGTCCCAGCTGAAACTCAGGTAACTCTGCCCCTTCTGGAACGCCCACCGCACCACTCAGGGCAGCGTTGCAAGTGAGGTCTTCGGCTGTGGGCAGCTGCCTTTCGGCTCTAACTGACCTCCTGCTGAAATGGGATGGGGTGGTGGCCTGGCAACTCTCTTTATATGGACCCTTGGAGTCTGCCTGGATGTCTAATGAGCGGTCGGTCACATTAGCGATGGGAGACACATGTAAAGCCAGGGCTCCAAAAAAATAGCAAATGAAAAAGCAGTCTACAAAGGGCTGTACTAAATTATCTATCTACTTTTTTAAGGAAAAAAAAAAAACTTGTAATATATACACACACCCTACCTACTAATATTGGTTATCTCTGGCAGGTGACATGTTTTCTTCTCCACAAATAGACATTTGGAATTTGCTCTTGATAAACAGTTTTTGGTTTTTAAGTGAAAAGAGTAGAAACCTAGTTTCTTGTACAATAGGAAAAGCAAAAAAAATAGTAAAATTATACAAGGTTGGCAAGAAAAAAAAGTTAGCAGCTCTTTGTCAAACTAGGTTTCTTCCTTGGGTGGTCTACTGTTCTTTAATATTCCCGGGACCAAAGAGAGAGCATGAGATCACCCTGTTTGGATATGCGTAAGGCAGAGATAAGGGGTCAGGGCTTGGAGTACAAAGATCAGTAGGGCCAGCACCGGGGGCTCCACACGCAGGCAAGGAAAATACTTCATAGATGAAATGAAGTCAGGTAGCAGAGAAGTTCTGGTGAGCAGACATGTTTGAGGCTAGTGAAATGTACAAAGGAGAGGCTTATTGCCAGGTTTTGCTGGGACACTTGAGGAGGATGGCCAGGTTTAGGCCTGTTCATCCCTCTCTCGCAGACACAGACTGGCCACAGCCTTCCTGCAGTGAACTAGGCTACTGGCCTCTCAGAGAGGAAAGTGGAATTTTGGAGCAGTAGGTGGTGATAGAGCTTTGTTTCTCCAACCAGAGTGCAGAAACTGACACCCAGGGAGATGAACTGACTCAGATCCGAGATCTCACAGGCGCAAACGGCGCAGATAATCCTTAAGGTTGTGATCAGTGTTTTCAAAACCGCAATCGTTGTCTGTCCTCCATTCCTAAGTCTAACTGTAACCTCTGACCTTTTCTTCGTGAATACCTTAGCTTAGTGAACCCAGCCATCATCTCCCCTGTGGTCCTAGACGGAAACTACCATGTCTGTTTCACAAGTCCCCAACTCCGGTCATTCACCAAGTCCTAATGATTTTGCTTCCTGAGCATCTGTGGAATAGCCTACTCATCTTCCTCTTTAGGCCACTCTCTTCTCTTACCTGGATCATTGAACCGTCAGTCTCCCTACACCTTTCTTGGCTCCTCCTTGTCCGTTCTCCACACCACAGCCACACCTAACCCTGCGTGTGCTTCGGCTCTGCACCTCCCCACTGCCTTCAAGATAAAGTCCAAACTCTAAGATATGGCTGCACAGCTCTCTGTGGTACATCCGCTGCTTACCTCTCTGTCCCCACGTGTCATCATGGCCTGCTTTGTTCTCTGCACCAGCTGACAGCCAAAGGGAGAAGTCCATTATCAAGGGCAGTATAAAAATATGAAGGGGAGTGTGGAGATGTGGGGCTAGAGAGCTAAGAGAAATAGAGACTTGTTCTGCCGGATGTTCAAATGCACTAACAAGCTGTAACAGCGCCTTTGTGTTACTGCTAGATCATTAAACTGGAATGTAAAGTGTAGAAATAGACTTGAGTATATTGAAGAATTTAGCATATGATCAACGTGGCAATTTAAGTCAACATGGAAAAGGGCAGACTTTTTAGTGAACAGAATTGTGACAACTTGTTAACGGTCTGGAAAGAAAATTAAGTTATATCTTGATCTCACACCCAACCCCAAAATAAATCCCAGTGACTTAAAGACTTGATGTTAAAAGTAGGGCCACATAAGTACTAAAAATATAAGCGAACATATGTAATTGGATGGTGAAGTTTTTTTTAATTCAGCATGGCATAAAAGCCAGATTGGGTAAAGGAGGAGAGTCAGATTAAACAACATAAAAATGTTAAGCTGGTCTACAATTAAAAACAAATTTTTTTTAATGTTCCATTTATTTTTGAGAGAGAGAGAGAGACAGAGTACAAGCTGGGGAGGGGCGGAGAGAGAGGGAGACACACAATCCAAAGCAGGCTCCAGGCTCTGAGCTGTCAGCACAGAGCCCAATGCAGGGCTTGAACTCGTGAACCACAAGATCATGACCTGAGCCAAAGTCGGACACTCAACTGACTGAGCCACCCAGGCACCCCAGCTTGTCCACATTTTTTTTAAAAACCTTAAATAATGTTACATTTTTAGATAAATAACATTCTGGGGAGGAAATATCTGTAACACATAGGGTGGGCAGACAGACGTTTGGCTTTACTAGTAATCACATAAATGAAAATGAGAATGATCTGTTATATTTTATTTACCAAATCTGCAAAAATTGGAAAAAGAATGTTAAAACCGAGTAGGGCTTCTCACAGATCCATTTCCTCCAAACTTGTTATATCAGAGGTGAGAACTTCTCATTAAAACAAATTCTTTTTTTTTTTTTT